ATGGCACAAGAGACGCTAGCTCTTTAGAGCAGTGCCCATTATAGTATTTGTAGAAAAGAGAAAGAGAAGCAACATTACGACGATGTGACAGAGGTTGAAGGTTGGCTGCAAGAGCAGGTCCAACTATGTTTACAATGCGTTTTTGCACCTTGTCTAAAAGAGAAAGGGCATCATTAGAAGATCCGCCCCAGATATGGCAACAGTATTCCATACAAGGCCGGATTTGAGATTTATAAAGATAGAGAATAGAATCCAGAGTAAGAAAGTGACGAGCTCGATAAAGAGAAGCAACTTTAGCAGATGCTAATTTTGCAACGGATTTGATATAAGGTTTCCAAGAAAGATCAGAAGTAAGAGTTAATCCTAGAAGATGAAGGGTAGGAGACTCATTGAGTACATTACCGTTCATAAATATAGGAAGGTCTAAATTATTGCGATAACGATTGGCCGAAAAAAATTGAGTTTTATCTGAATTAAAGTTGCTTAAATTTATGACAAAATTTACACTTTAATATTGGCGGATGAAATTTAAATAGAAAACTTTACAAAATTTTTTTTCGTACTTGTTTAATCTAAATGTACCATTTGTATAATCGTACTTATACATGTTAACTTTCAACGCCTTAACATATAATTTGTTTTTACGGTCTTTGTTTTAATTGACTAATATTTAGAAGTTTCTGCTATGGTTTGGGAATATAGTAACTAGTCTGGCATTTCAAGGGGTTGTGATTTTGAGTTTTAAGGATTTTTTTCTGTTAAAAAAGCACTCAGTACTTTTTAAGAATTTGTCTTCTCCCCCTCCCCCTCCTCCGATTCTTTTCCTAGAATCGCTCCTGTTCCTGCGGGGTCTCGATTTTCTTAGTTTCATGAGGATAGGTAATATGCAAATCCAAACTACTTATTTTAAATTTATTTATTATAGGTCTTAAATATAGACAATAAAAAGGTTGAGCCTTCTAATAAAATTAAATGTCACAAATTTGACTCATTTCAGAAAGTCCTAGGACAATGTTGAAAATTTGTAAAATGGAATAGATATGATAGCAGAAAACAATGGAAACCAAATTAAGTTATAAGTTTTATTTTGAAGCATAAAATAGTCCTGGGACTGTATTTGAAAATCGCGGGATTAAAAGTGCTCTGGGTTTTGGCAAACCCTAATTTACACCCTACATTGTTCTATTTTGACTGCTATGTTGTTATATTTACATATAAATAATGTTGTCAAAACTTTTTTTTAAAGTTTTGAAATCTTCAATAAAAGGAAAAGGAGAAATAACGCTTTAACAGTTTTTATTATTACAATTTGTTTAAAAATTAATTATGTTATTTTGTTATTAGGGCTATTCCATAAATGATAATTTTGACTTCTTGTCACAAAAAGTAAGACGTAAGGGGTCGTCTATAAATAAAGTACACTTTTATTTCAACCCTCTCACATACCAATCCCGCATTTTGCTGTACACTTATTTGAATACCCTCTTCTTCCCTGAAAGTACCTATGCCTTTAACCTACCTACCCAAAATTTTATGATACTATTTTTAATATAGCGTCTCCTTACTTTTATAATTGACCACCTGACCATTTTATGGACAATCTCTAAGGCGTAAGAAAAGTAAGACCACCTCACTCAAACAGTTAAAGAAGTCGTTTGTGTCAAAGTTAGAGACAAAAAATTGATTTGTTATTGCAAATATTGTCTTAATAGCTAATTAATTACAGTAAAGAGCTACAGTGGAGCTAGTTGCTCAACTGTAGTTACTTTACGTATACCATAGGCGAATAGTAAAAAATTTTTTTAAATTGTTTAATTTTGTTTTATCAATACACCAATCGAGATTAGTAAGTAAATTATTTGAACTCTGATTAACCAATAAACCTTTATTATATTTATTGAGTTCCTTTGTTTCCACCTTTTAAAATATTTATTTAATATTTATTGAGTTCAATTATTAATTTCCTTTTTTAAAGAATGCTTTAAAAATATAGGAAAGTATAAGTTACATACCAAAAAAGATTGAAAAATTTTCATACAATCATAAAATACTTTTTGCATTACATAAAGATAAAGCTAATATACCATATATCTTACAAATAACTAACAATAAGATAGAAATAAGCTACTAATCTGAAAGATTTTATAAAATTAAAAAAAACTTCCTGTTAAGGTAAGAGTAGCTATAAATCATCAAGGAAATTAGATAATAATAACCCAAAAGGTACATTGAATAGTTACTATACATGTATAATTAATAATAAAATTAAAAAAAAAAATTAATTTTTTACAAATAACAAATGAAGTGAAACAAAAAATTTATTTAATGAGTAACAATTTTTGGTTTAGGGTCTGCCATAAACATTGATTTTAAATTACAGAAAGCACCACATGTTAATAAAATGTCATCTGCATGTTGTAGCATGCTGATTGACAGACTTCCATTTAGAATTAATACAATTAATAGCTCGCTCTACATGTATTCTTAAATTTGCAACATGTTTAGTTTTTTGAACTTCTTTGGTGGTTAATAGACTCTTCAAGCGGGCACTAGGTGGCACAACCAAAGTACAATGGTGGGTATATGCTAAAATAATCGGCTAAGTCTTGACTTAGAAGTCCAAATCTTAATCGCATTAAAACAAGTAAAAACTTATCTTTTTGTGATAGCTTTTTTGATTTTTTCATTGAAGCATGTTTTTTCTTATTTTTAGAATTAGTAAACCTTTTAGGACCAGACAAATAAACTAAATTTGGTAAATATGGTTTGATTAGTAAAAATAAACTCTCAAACAATTTGATTGTCAATAAACCAGTAAAAAAGTTCATTTTAGCATCAGTTTTAATTTTCCTCCATGTAAATACTGAAATTTTAACACTATCAAATAACTTTTGACGCTTTAATTTTTGACAAGTTAATGTTAACATGTTTACTGATTAGTGATTCAATTAAATTGCTCCTGTCAACACATACTTTGAACAACACAAATGATCAGATACTGATACATTTGCTATGGGTAAATTATTTTCTTTATCTAAATCTGTTGAAATACCATTAGAATGACTTGGATGTTCAGTAGTAACTGCAGTTTGGTCAAGTTTCTGCTTTTTTAATGGTATAGAGTGTTTGATTAAGTTTCTTCTAGATTTTTTAGCTTCTATTTCATATCCAAGACATATAGTAGGCATAGTGTTTGCAGTTAAAGGAATTCCATCAACAAAATGTATGGAGCATACCTATCTCTTGGCTCCCATAATGTCTTATTTATAGATTCTCTTCTTAAAGCTTTAATCCATAACTGTCTTTTTTTATTTTTTTTTTCTTTACTGCTGGAAATTTATATAATAAAAATGGTCTTTCACATAAAGAATATTTCTCTCTGCTTAAATTTCGTTCATGTTCATTGCATACTTCTTTTTTCCATTTATACATCTTTATGCATCTTTATATAAAAATTTTGTTTTTATAGTCTACTTTATAATTGATTAAATTTTATTTGAAAGCATTTCATAGATGTTTATACTTTGTTTTCTCAAGTTAAATTAGCTGATTTAAATTGTTGTCTCTATTTTTACTCTTCCAGCAGGGTCTCGGATTCCCAAATCTTAGAGTTTCATAATGGCACATTGTGAAAAGCTCAACCGGTGTATTATTGTTGAAAGTATTGTTTTTATAAAATCAATCATACAAATTGTTTTAAAAAATAAAATAAAAATTGAATAAAAAATAAATCTATATTTATATAATTTTAATAAAACTTACTCAACTTTATATAATTTATATTAAAATTTATAAGACTTCTTTTTTAAACAAATAATAATACTACATCATCGCTTTGTTTAAAAGCATTTTGCTAAATATAAAGATATTTGATAACAAAAGAATAATGTTACAAAGTTAATACTTTTAGCATGTTAAAACTGAACTTTTCAGACATACATGGAAACATACATAAACTTAAATGTTCTCAAAACCTCTAAAAAGCCGTAGTCAAGATGTTGCAACAAAATATTATATACATAGTCAAGTATAGAGTACAATCAAAAGCTGCACCACAAAAGTTAACTTTGAAGCATCTTTTTATAACATGTGATCGAGAAATACATAACTTATTTAATGCCAGCAGGGTCAGTGGTGATTGACCCAAGCCATTCAGTGTGATGAGCATTAAAGTCACTAAGAACAACAATATTGGCAGAGAGGTAATATGGTCAATTTGATCAGAAATTATATCTAAAAGAGTGCAGTCTTGAGAAGAAAAAGAACAATAAACAACAAAGAGAAAAAAGATTGAATGAAGAAGCACTAAGCGAAAGCACATAAAAGAATGGTAAGAGGATTAAAAACTGATTTCTCAACAAATAGATGAATTGACGTGTAAGCTTAGCATTTTGACAATGATAGAATAAAATTAAACAAAAACAAACTGCTCAACTATACATCATATTCACTAAATTTTGACATTGATTTCTATGAATAGTGACTATTGATAGAAATTATAGAAATAATGACTATTGATAGAAATTATAGTAAATAGTGACTATTTTAAGTTAGAAGACTTGCAGCTGCGAAAATGTACTTTTATGAAAAGAGGAATCATTTTATTATGATTGAAATTCTTTTTTAATTTTTCACATTTTGTTTTGTTATATTTTAAAAATATTTCTAAAAAGTTATTTTTTAAAAGGTGTTTTATTCAATCAGACAAAATAAGTACTGGATTAGAATGGAATGCCATACAACTTCTCCTTTTAGTACAAAGTTTTGCAAATTTTACCCTAAACTAAAATTGTTTTCATTTAACAAATAGTGAATAGCAAAATAATTTGTTAAACTTCGGTATCCAGGTTTAACAAATACTTGCTATTCAACTTTATTTAACTTCAATTGGCAAAGTTAAATGAACCTTACCAGGTCTTAGCCTAAATGACTAGTTAATTAAAAGTTAAAATTATTAGAGTATGTTTAATCATTTATTACAATTCAAAAAATGTTTTTACCTTACTTAAAACATAACTAAGATCTCGCTTTGATATCTTAAGAAATTCTGTCTTCTTTGATGATAAATACTTGATTTCATCAGTGTCTAGACCTAAGAAGATATATATATATATATATATATATATATATATATATATATATATATATATATATATATATATATATATATATACGTTTTAATTACGTCTGAAATATACGTAATTAAATTGTATATATATATATATATATATTTAATAAACATTTATTTCATACGTAATTAAAAGCGAATATATATATATATATATATATATATATATATATATATATATATATATATATATATATATATATATATATATATACGCTTTTAATTACATATGAAATAAATGTTATTAAAGCTTATCTTTTTAGACATTATAAAGTTACGAAAAATGCTTTTAAATTAAGTAACAAATTACTGCTAATGATTGTTCAATAAATGAACAAATTTTATTAAATTTATTAAAAAGTGTTATTGTTATTATTATTAAATTTATTAATAAGTGTTATATAATATTTTTAAATTGTATAAACATTTTTTTTTTTAAAAATTGCAAAAAAATTTTTTTAAAAAATAACATAGTCTATTTAAAATAATAATTATTAATAATTTCATGCTTTGTTAGTAAGTCTAAAAAAAAGTTTTCAACTTTTTTATTCGTAAAAAAAGAAAATAAATAAATAAAATGTGCCTGTGATTTAAATAAAATAAACTACCAACAAGCATTTTATTTTAATTTTAATTTGAGCATTACAACTTCTTTAATAAGCGCTTTGCGTAACAAATATAAAAATTATTATAAAAGATTTAAACTCATTCCTATCAAAATTGAAAAAAAAAATTTTTTTTTACAAAAATTTTTTTTTACAAAAAATAAAATGTTTATTTAAAACATTTTAAAAAACCGTAAATTTAATTATAAAAATTAATCATATGAACATTACAAAATGCTTTAAAACTTTTTCATTAAATCAATAAAATACATGCTTATATAAGTAAATAAAGTTATTTTATATTCTTGTGTAATTCACATAAAATGTGTAAAAGCTAGTAGTCACAAAAGCTTTTGAACTTATTTACAAATTAAAGTAACTTAAAAAAATTATTTATTCTAAAAAAATGGTTTAAAAATGTTTTAGGAAGACATGAAAAAATAGTTTCAAACATTTGAATTTATCATAAAAAATACATGCCTACATAAAAAAAACTTATATATAACCTTTTTTTATTAACTTACACATACGTTTATGTAAGCAATAACTATAATTAATTTTATGGTTTTATGCGAAGGCTTTAAGCCTTCGCATAAAATAAAAACTTTAGAAAGATCAACGATTAAAAGATATTTATAATGTAACACTTTTTTTATTGCATTCAAATTGTGAAAACATCAAGATAGCTGTGGTCAAGTTGTAAAGAACAAAAAAAATTAGCGTGGTCAGTTACAGAGTGTGATCGCACACCATTCCTGTCCAAGCCTGCTGACCATAAAGTATTTCAGGTCAGTAAATAGCTTTATGGTGACTCCTTTGTGTCAAATATTTTTTGCCAACCTGAAATACAGTTAAAGGTCAGCAATTTATTGTGTGTGTGTGTATATATATATATATATATAATAGTAGTAGTAGTAGTATGAAAATCTGCAGCACATTTAAACAAGGGTTAAATAGTGCAGAGCACATCAACAGTAGATGACGCCCTATGACAGTTTTGCTGATTAATTGTTCATATTGTCAAACAATATCTTAACAACTTTACATCTTTGGCATTTGTTATCTGTTTGGGGAGGTCATTCCTTTTATAGACAATGCGATTAGTAAAAAAGTGATGTCTAGGCTGACATTTTTCTTATTATTTCGAGTCTTAGTTGTGATCCAGTTTGATTAGCATAAGCTGGAATAATTATTTATGGTTTAATCCATTGTATATTATTTGTTGTATGTGTGTATTGTATTGTAATATACATTGTATTGTATTGTAATATACATTGTATATGTAATATTTTAATTGCTGAATCATATCGCCATGCTCACATCTACAATCTAATGGGGTGAAATAAAATTAAAAAAAGCGAGAGTGCTCGATGAATTAAGGAAAATTAAAATGATTTAAATTAAAACAGAGCTGTATTTATATATATTACTTATAAATAAAACTGCATATTTTTCACAACTATTAGTTTCATGCTAAATGCAAAGATTTACACCTGATGATTGCATTTAGCACGAAACTAATAGTTGTGAAAAAAAGTTTTATTTATAAATTGCCATTCTTAAGACTCGTTTATCTTAATAAGAAGAATTGTTTCAAATATGTTAAACTTTTCAAACTACGCGAAACATAAAATAGGTATTAAAAAAATTAACTTTTTTATTTATAAAATAATTTAGCTTAAATAAAACTAAAACTTGCAAACTTCGTTAAATAAAGAATATTTGTTTCCTTTTTAAACAATCGTAAGATGTTACTTTATATAAAAAACATCGCCAAATTTTAATAAAAAAATTAAAAAAGAGAGATGTTTTGAAAATATTTGTTCTAAACGTAATTTATTTTTTTGTTATAGTCTCTCATCGGTCCACTTAATCTTTAGCGCATTTTTTTTTTTGCTTTTTAAAATGCTCTCAAAACGACTAAAAAATCTGGCCAGCTTTTCGCAACTAAATATTATTTACGTTGTCAGCAATTGAGAGTGATCGCTCCTGCTTCCCGACCAAGCCTGCAGCTGATCAGTGTAAATGTGTGATACATGAAAATTTAATACTACGTTTGTGCGGAATGGGCATTGTGTATAAAATAATTGGTGGGATGATATTTTGTGTTCTTCTAGTGCATTAGATATGTCCAAGTCCTATTGGAAAAACGAGTGTAAATTCTGTAAAAACGGCTTTAATATTGCAACTGCGCAAGATTCAGCAGCAGGGTACTGTTGGAGATCCCCCGTCACTTGCTGGTTCAAAAAGCCAAACATATATGGTGTTTTACTCCACAGACATTTAAATTTTTATTACCATGAACATCTAAACTCTTTAACTACTTATATTTCGCATGCTTACATTTGTAATCACTGCACTTTTGCTATTATAGCTGTGAAATGATTGCTTTTATCGATTGTTTTGCACGCGGTAAGGCATGTAACAAGACTGGTAACACACGTAACGATGACAAATTGTTAATTTAATTCGCTATTAAAATCTTTTCCCCAAATCTACTTTATGATTTTGTTAAGCGGCATCTTTAATAACAAGTTGCACATTTCGGTTTTTCAATATGCAACCAATTCACAGATTAGGCTTATAAAAATTTACTTGTTAAAAATTTTAGATGTGTGCAAATAACGCACGTAACGATTTTTGATTTATAATTTGAGATAAATGTTCAACTTTTTAAAACAAGTTTTTGTATATATTTTTTGTTGTACGGTTTAAATAATATTTTGTGATAAATTGCAATTTGACAAAGCATTATGCTGAAGTATGAACCACCGGTTTATGAGTTCAACTATTGTTAAAAAGTAACTCACGTAACGATGGAATCAGTCTAATCTAAATTGTGCATTTAAATCTTATTTCCTGATGAACTATTGTTATTGACAATGCTCCAAAAACTTGTGAGCTAGTGAATTGTTACTTGTTACGTACTGAACATTTTTAACAAAATGTTTAGAAGCCTATTTAAAACTTTATTTAAGTTTTTAAGTACATTTTTTTAAAACAGAGCAATCATCATATTCATTATCTTTAACATTGGAATCGTTATTGTTATTGTTAACAATGGAAATTGGGCAATATAAAAGAAATAATTTTAGACATGCATCAAATGCAGTAAATACATTTATTAAAAAAACCATGTTATTCTTATAATTAACTTATTCCGCCATTACAAAAGTTATTCATTAAATAATATATTTTACAAATAAATAACAATATATTTTCTTATTTTCCTATTACATAAGTATTGAGAAAAAAATGTCAAATATAGCAAAAACATTTTAAAAGCGAAAAGAGGTACAAAACAAATACACATAAGAAAAAAAATTAACAGAATTTCTTAATTAAATGGACTGATAAAAATCGTGAATAAATTGCATATAAAAAATTTTTTAAGTGTTAAATGGTTGTAAAAGATAATGCTTTTTTCAACAAAGACTTAAATAAGGAATACAAAAGTTGTAAAAATGTTATATAAATTTTTTTTTTTAATTTACTGTTTTTAATTATTAAATTTTCTAATTTATTTAATTAAACTTGATATTTTGTTAAAATTTTGTTTCCTTTTTTTATGATTTTTTTCTTTCTCAGTAGATAAGTTTAGCTTTTTGACGCAAATTATTGAAATGCTTTATAAGTTAAAAATGCGAACTGCCGTGGTCAGTTTGTCTAAAAAAATTACTTTAAAGGAGGATGAACAAGGCGTGCGGCCACACAGTTTTATATATATACATGCATAGGGATGCGGAGTTCCAAAAACGACTCCGGATATGAAAGGCACAAAAAGATTACTTCTTCCTAGTTTTTGGTATCCAGGAGTTCTAAAGATATAAATAAGTTTATAGACTACTAATAGGAAAAAAATTAAGACTATTAGGTAAAAGAAACAATCATTTTTTGAACCCGGAGGTATAATGGCGGCAAAACAATAAGTTTCCAGTCATTAAATCTCACAAATTTTTTACTTATAGCAGATCATAAGTCAACAAACATGTTTAGAGCTTCTGGATACTACAGACTTAAAAAAAGTAGAGATATAAAGTCCGAGTCCTTTAGGGATATATATATATATATATATATATATATATATATATATATATATATATATATATATATATATATTTATATATATATATATATATATATATATATATATGTATATATATATATATATATATATATATATATATATATATATATATATATATATATATTTATGGTCAGGTCAGGTTTTCCTGCTACTGGTAACATGTAACCCAGTACAACCTGCTTCATGTCCTGCTGCCTTGTAGGATACGCTTTTTTAGGCAAAGGCTAGGAGAAGTTAACTCCGAATTAAAACACCCCCTGCCTTGGGGCTCT